GGAAGCTGAGGCAGGAGGATCCCAAGTTCAAGGCCAGACCCAGCAATTTAGTGAGACCCTGTCTCAAAAAATTTTTTAAAGGCTGGGGATGTAGCTCAGTGGAAAGCAACCCTGAGTTCAATCTCCAGTACAATAAAAATTCTGTTTTCATTAAAACCACTATTATGTCAAGCATGGTGGTGCATGCCTGTAATCTCAGTGGCTTGGGAGGCTGAGGCAGGAGGATTGCAAGTTCAAAGCCAGCCTCAGCAAAAAGCGAGGCGCTAAGTAACTCAATGAGACCCTGTCTCTAAATAAAATACAAAATAGGGCTGGGGATGTGGCTCAGTGGTTGAATGCCCTAAGTTCATACCCTAGTACCAAAAACAAACAAACAAACAAAAAACACTATCATCATGGGCTGGGATGTAGCTCAGCAGCAAAGCATCTATCTGCCTTGTATTTTCAAGGCCCTGGGTTACACACCCAGTTCCAAAAGGAAAACAAAACAAAACAAAACCCCAAACCCTCACTATCATCAGCATTGTTTGAATAGACATATTAGTCTTCATTGGTTTCTGTAAAAAGATTAATTTTTGGTCCAAAATAGTTATTGTGATTTTTTTTGTTTTGTTTTTGCTTCTTTTTGTTGTAGTTTAAGATTCTGTCTTGCTTTGCTTGAGTCCTTTTTAATTAAATGCACCAGCCCCAGCTTCTTACCTTTCCCAGTACATGAGTTAATTTAAACATTTTGCTTGTACTGGGTGTTACTAAGATCTTTGTATTTTTTATCTGGGGCTAAAATGAAATTGACAAGGGGTGTGGTCTGGTATATTCTGCTCATCTTGGCTTTATACCAGGGAACTTTATGCAAAAGTGATTACCCCACCTTGATTCAGTAAGCCAGACATGAGTCCCAGCATTTGAGGACAGCGACTTGACCTTCACTCTGTACCCTCAGAGCTTGGAACAGTACCTGGAACTGAACATAACTTGTTGAATGAGTAGATACAATTAATTTGACTCTGGCTTCTGAAACAATGCTAATAGAAGCAGATGAAATGTAAAAAATAACAGTGCAAATGAATTTCCATTTCTCTTTATGAAGCAAGTTTGGAATTAAAAATATTTTAATTTTTATTTTCTAAGCAAACAAAATGTATACATTTATGGTATACTGCATGATTTTGTGTGGGTGTGTATGTACGTGCGTGCGTGCGTGTGTACACATGGTACTGGGGATTGAACCCAGGGTTTCACAATATGCCAGGCAGGTGCTCTGCCACTGAACTATATCCCCAGTCTTTTTTGACTTTTATTTTGAGACAGGGTCTCACTAAATTGTGTAGGCTAACCTCAAACTTTGTGATCCTCCTGCCTCAGTCTCCTGAGTAGCTGAGATTACATGTGAGTGCCTCCATTCCCTGGCCCAGCTAAATTTTGAATTGTTACCTATAGATATGATTCAGAACTTAAAACAAAAAGAGGGAGAAGGAAAAAGAAAATTGGCTTTTAATTTAAAAAGTATTCGCTGGGTGCGATGGCGCACACCTGTAATCCCAGTGGCTCTGGAGGCTGAGGTAGGAGAATCGCAAACAACTTAAGGCCTTAAGCAACTCAGGGAGATCCTTTCTCAAAATAAAAACTAAAAAGGGCTGAGGATGTGGCTCAGTGGTCAAGTTTCCGGGGTTAAATTTCTAATACCAAAAAAAAAAAAAAAAAGTGAGAAAGAGAGGCATTCTTGTTTTGACAGTTGACAGTTTTTCTTTCATTTTCTATTTTAAAAATTCTATACAGCCTTGAATATTTTTATCAGTTTACAAAGTACTTGCCAACCACTATTTTATATTGTGTTGTCCTTGAAGGGCGATAAGAACTGTAAGTACCTTAGGGAGACATTTAAAACTTTCTAAATAGTATAATCAATTAATTAAAAATATTATAGTAATTTTCTCTAGATATGTGGGGTTATCACTGTTTTGTTTTCTTCCTTTTTGCTTGTCTTACTTTTATGTAATGAACATCGATTGTTCTTTTTTAATATTTCTTTTAGATGTTGATGTACCTTTATTTTATTCATTTATTTATATGCGATGCTGAGAATTGAACCCAGTGCCTCACACATGCTAGGAATGTGCTCTACTACTGAGCCACAACTCCAGCCCCATCTATTCTTAAAAAAAAAAAAAAAAAAGAGAGAGAGAGAGAAATAAAATACAGGGGAAAAACAATCCCAGTTATTCATTATGGGGCGATCTTACACTCCATTCTGTTAATTTATTTTTTTGATACTGGGGATTGAACCCAGGATTGTTCTACCGCTTAACTGCATCCTCAGTGTTTTTTGTCTTTTGAGATAAGATTTTGCTAAATTGCCTAGGCTAACCTTGACCTTGGGATCCTTCTGACTTAGCCTACCAAGTAGCTGAGAGTACAGGCGACCTTGCCTAGGTCTTTTTATTTTTTGAGATCGGTCTCACGATGTTGCACAGGCTGTTCTCCAACTCCTGGGCTCAAGCTATAGCCCATCCTTCAGCCTCCAGAGGATCTGGGTGAACACAAAGTCCATCTTCCTCCAACCTTTTGAAAACAAGCTGAGGGGTTGGGGTTGTGGCTCAGTGATAGAGCGCTCACCAAGCATGTGTGAGGCACTAAGTTTGATCCTCAGCACCACATAAAAAACTAAGTTACATAAGGGCATAAGGGTGTTGTTTCCATTATATATATGCATATATAAAATGAACCATAAAACTGAGGGTGTGTGTGTGGGTTGCCTGGTGGAAGAGCACCCCTGGGTATAAAGTTAAACTTTTATTCTTCTGTTTCAGAGAAAACAAACTTCTCCACTTTTGTGAAAGGAAGATTTTGGAACTCCACCTTCAAAAGTCTGGTTCAAAAGTTGAGCTGTTCTCATACTTTGAGACATGCACTTAAAAAAGCCCAGTGAATCCATCTAAAAACAGAATTTGAGTGCTACATTTGTGGTAGGACTGAGGAAACTTTCTCAGTTCTATAGTGCTTTGGTCACAATATTGAAGGGGGCGCTAAAAAGTCAATAGTCCTGGTTAATAATATTGTAAGGCAATATATATAT